ACATTTTTTCCAGTAAAAGTTGTTATTGCGTTCTACTCACTTCTCATTCTTTACATTTCTTATACTCCAGTTTAGTGCAAGTAATTTCCTGAAGGAAAGCTCGCTTCCTGCAAGTTGTTTGAGGAGCTTTGTCTTGAACAATAGCGCGGTTGATTCACATCGTAACGTTTTATGTAATTTCGCGAAATATGTAGTTGCGAGTGCTTTTGAAATACTTTGTAAGTTCGAGAAGAGTTTTGTGTTTATGGAAATTGTATTTTTCAAAACGGCTATATTATAGTGTATCTGATATGTGATATGAGGCTGCTAGAGACAGAGTGGCCTAATAACAAACAAACATGATTTGAAAATAAAAATGCGCAATTAACTAAGACACTAATGAATTTGTCCTATTGTATGTGTAAGAATTATGTTAACAATTTTCGGTTACTGTGCTCTTGTAGATTAACATTTTTAGACTATGAAGATATAAATAACTCAAGTCATAAAATTGCAGTTAGGCTACTCTGCCTCATATATGATATACAACGTTAATCAATGTAAGTTTTAAGAACAAATATTGTAAGAACCAAAAATAATTGTAAATTTCTTCGATCATGTTTGTACCACTATCTTTTCTTTACACATAAAATAGGTTTGGTAATAACCTAATTTTTGAATGAATGTGAACTTTCAAATACAACGAATGTCAATTTTTTGTCACTACTTCACACATTTTTGAGTGCAGACAGATTACCAGCGCTGCAGCTTTCAGTAGCATATAGGCATACATAGACTAAACTTTTGCTTTTGCTTTTTTAGTACTACATACAGCTTTTTATATAATACACTTTCCATACCTGCGAACATGAATCACATGATAGCTCAATCTCTTGATTTGACTTGAATATTTCTTTCTACAACCGTATGTATATTTAAATGAAACACTTTGAAAATATATTGAGAAAATTTACGACCGGGCAGGACTTGAACTAGCATTGTCAGCGTTCCGTGCGGTTGCTCTACCAATTGAGCTACCGAGTCCTACTCGTCATCGGCGATTTTTTTAACTTATTGATGTATCTGTCTGGAAATGTAATTTCAACCTTAACACTTGGTAGACAGATTGGTAGAGCAACAGCGCGGAACGCTGACGATGCCGGTTTAACTCCTGCCCGAGTCGTAAAGAGTCGTCGTCGTTTTTCAAATTTATTTTCGATTTTTAATTTATATAGTACCATCATTTACAATAACTTGTAAAAATATTAAAGTTTTCAAACTAACAAACTCGTCAGCTTTATAATATTAGTATAGATTTCAAAAGACTCCATCCGCGTATTCTACAACAAAGTGATAAATACATCCCCTAGATCGCCATATTTTACTAAGTCATGTACAGTACATAAGCAGGAGAGACAGTGGCGTATGATTAATGGCGTGGTCGTTAGTGCGTCGCGACTGTGGATGGCAACAAACCAACGTCTTTATTCACTTAATGCGATCATCATTTACTAGCAGATGCGGCTTGTTTCGTCAAAACTGCGTCATTTTACGACATTTCCTTTTTTTGAGGGCTCAGCTGATGAGTGATTATAATTTGAAGTTGCACCTGTGACTTGAAAAGATTGGCTTCGTTTTTCTGCTTCCGTAATTGGACGTCTTAAATGGAATTATGGTTATGATTGTTTTTGTTAGATCTTATGGGTGTGCTTCAAATTGAAAGTATAAACCTAAAAGGATTCTATTAACTATTACAGAATTCTCCTACCCTAAAATAAAATAAAAAACTTGAAGTAGTCCAAATTAATTCCTTGTGCTTTCGGGAGTATGCCGTCTTACGTCTTACTTAGTATATTTTTTATGATAAAAATAAATAAATATCAACCTAAGCTTATGTTTAAATTATTTAATGTATTTTGGTAATGGTCGCGACTGTTGTAAAGCATCAAATATAGGTTATATTTTGCATCGTAAACCGTTAAATCGTAAACCGTAATATTACATTATCAGACACCCGTGAAAGTATTTCTTATAATAATAATAATGAAATAAAAACATATTTTCACAGCTACAGCTACACAAAAATGAATGAACTAATATTTTCTACATTTTACCATAAAGAATGATTCAATAATCGTAAATACTTATTATCGTATAATGTATAATGTATCGACGGTCAGGAGTCTTAAACAATGTAACTGAACTCACTCCTTTTTCTAAGTTAAAAGAAACGGATCCTCAAATAAAATATGGGTCTACTAGAACGATCGTTAGTAAAGGGAAAAAAAAAGTTTCTTGAACTCGGACCAAATTAACTTTTGCCATTAGGTGCCACCGAGCTTCTAATTTGATTCTGATTCACTCAGGCTTTTAGACTAAAATGCTGGTGGTCGAGCTTATATTGATTTTTCTAATATAAATTGAAATTGATCGAAATTCCGTCTGAGTCACGAACCACCGTTAACAGACGAAAAATGTGAGAAGTTTAATCGCGTTTCGGTTTCAGTCTGTGGATATTGGAATATCCAAAGCCCCAATAGATCGACAGCTCATCTTGTTTAATCGTTATATAGCTGAATTATTTCATCTACCATCAAGTTACAGTCAGTACCCTCATGTTTGTATGTCCCCCTGTATCATATTAACAAATAAATAACATTCCAATTACGAAGTTCTTATCTTAAATGCATTCCTTCCAGACTTAGCATAGAACAAAATAATTTCACCTCTACATTAGGTGCCTAAAACTTTTGGCCTATGTTCAAATAGATGGATAACTATTAACAATAATTTCATATACAAACAACAGAAACGTCGGTGAATTTATAACGTATGCAAATTCAATTTACAATTCAAATCTGGCTTTATCTAAGAGAACACCCAGACAATAGTATTATATGGCTTAACACAGACGGATTGAACAAATTAAAATATTACGCTCTAACTAAATATTAGGATTAGGAAATAGGCATAATAAAAAGGTTTCCACAAGACAGAAATAATAAAACTTATTTCGATATTTATTTACTGACCTTTTAAAACACTTGACATCCTATTACTTTTAATAAGGGCATGGAACAGACTGGTTTTCAGTGCTTTGTTAGATTATGTAGTTTAAGATATGTTATGTAGAGATCGTATTTGGAAGTAGGTATTATGCTGATTGTCGTAGAAAACATACCATCATCAGTCGGGTTAGATGTTAATCCTGAATTAATTATAATCAGAAATTTATCAACAGCTAAAAAAATATAAATATAAATTTCTGACTATAATTAATTCAGGAAGAACGTCTAAAGCTTAAATCCAAAAAATCGACCAAATCGAACTGGTGCATTACCCGCCATGTTGTTTTGATAATCAAACCAAAATGGCTGCTATATTTTTTTTACATCTCTCTTAATTTAGTTTTTAACATTTTTCATAAGAACCGACGTTCAATAAACATACAACAGCTATTTTAAATAAATTTAATATTTTTCACATGTTATTGCACATGATCGAACTATAAAATGAAAAAAAAAACAGACACACACTCGGTTGTTCGATTGGTTAGAGCAACAGCAACGACGCTGTGGATGCCGGTTCAAATCCTACCCGAATTGTTCATCAGAAATTTGTGAAATGTATAATTGATTTTTAATCTATGTTAAATAAAACAATACCTACAAACATGAATTTTAAAACCTTAATGGTACTACAGAATCTTTTTGTAAGATAACAATTCCTGTACCCCTTTAGGAGTTATCTTCAACCGCAATTTACTTTAACGATACAATTGTAAAGTAAATCAGAGGAATTATTTTTTGTCGTCGTCGGTAACGTGATACTACAGAAGTTGCTCTTCTAGAGCACAAAGCACTAGATATCTTAAGTCTATTGGTAAAGAGTTTAAAAACGCACGCCTGTTATATAGAAAATGTTTGAAAATTGCGAGTAATCAACCTGAGTGTTTTTTTTACAGAGAAGTTTGCATTCAATTCAATTACTTGGACGGGTCTTTTTTGATGCATTGATATATTTTTTTAATGATAATGGACAGATAAGCTTAATATTTACTTCATGAAAGGTAAAACCGTAGATTATCTAATTAAGATGCGCTGGCTTATTTTGGCCTCAAGCATTCAGAAATCGACAAAAAAACTGTCACCATTAACGACTTTTCCAGAAGTCACGGGCAAAAGCTAGTATAAAATGAAAGATGTTGGACCTAGCGAAAATCGAACCCACGGTTCCCTATAAATTTTGCCATTATTATCCGAGCTCGTCAGACAGTACTGATGGTAATTCTGAAAATTGTTCGTTTCTACAATTCGTATGAACAGCCTTTGAAAGCCATTGAGAGAAAGTATTGTTTACAGTCCATGTTTATCATTCGTGTGAAAACGACGTAACATGTATGTAAAAAGAAATTATTCATGTTCTTTTTGTATTCGATATTAGTTCGAGGTTTCGCTAAAATGACTTATAGTTGTAATCTACGTTATGATTTGGATTTTATATTTATTATGACTAATATTATTTATTATTTTGAATTAAAACTCGAAATATTAATGATATATACGAAATGATGTTCCAAAAACAGTAAAGGACGTCTTTAAACTGGGTTCAGATCTTAAGCAATTATATAAATAGAATGGTTAAGGATCGTCTGTACACGAGTAGTGCATTTTTAAATAAAACACTTTAAAATGCTAAAAATATTGATTAACTTAATTTTAATTTATTCTAACTACGGTCCGAGGCGACGTACGTTCAGGATGCTTTGAAACACTCATGGTTGCAGTTTATATTAGTATATTTTATTTAAGTATAATTTAATTTAATGAATTGGCTAAATGAAAATTGTCACTTTCCAGAATACAACCGTTCAATGCATTGAAGCAGATTGTTTTGAAAGACGTTTTCAAACTCATTACCACCTGCTAACACCAAACAGTATGTCATGCAAGTACGCTGTGAAAATATTAATATCTTTGTGCGTAGTATGGTCTGTTTCACTATACACAATTATCACAGAGATGCAGCGCCGAGAGATCTCAGCGGTAGATAACTTGAGATTATATGAGCAAGCATTACGGAAATTTAGAAGTGTGTACGAGAAGAGAAATAATTTCACAGATTCGCTCGCAAGTAAGAGGTCGCATTAAGCTTTAAATACACTTAACATTTGCTTTTAACGTCTAAGCTTTTAACGTGAGCTATATATCATTAAAAATGAGCACAGTGTTTTTTGCACGTTCCATTTTCAAATATTTCCATTCTGTTCCGAATTCGCGTTTCAATTTAAAGTTGCAGTGATTTTTTGCTTGCTTTTGTATAGGTCGGCTGATTAAAATTAAGAATCGTGATTACTGAATTTTTACAGGTTGGAATCTAGTAGGCCCAGCGAGCCTCAAACTCTCAATGAAAGATAAACTTTCAGCAGTGAAAAATACCGAGTTTCCAGTAGGTAAGAGTACATCATTAGATCACACTGAATGCTCTGCTTAACAAGACTTATTGAAGGAGCAAAATTAAGTAGTGCAAGTGCTCAAGAAGTGAAAAGCTTGTAAACATGTATACGATTCAGAGTTTCCGGAATTACTAAATTGTAATTTGAGATTTATCTAAATTATGTCTGTTACATTTTTAGTTCTTCAAAAAATTTATAAGTTTTAAGATATTAACTAACATTCTTATCAATAGCATGTTATCGAAATCACTATATTCCTGTTTCATAATATTAAAAGAAAAATATAATTTCTGGTTAATGTCGTAGTTTATTATATTTTAGGTATGAATGGAATTCCAGTAGATATTGAAGATGATGTAAATGGTTTTTTTAAGTCGTTGATTAGGAGGGGGTGGAAAGATCACTGCTTTAATCAGTTTGTTAGCGATCTTATTCCAATAAATCGTACATTGCCGGATTATAGGGACGAGTGGTGAGTAAAGAATAAAAAAAATACAATTCGTAAAGTTTATTATCATCTACTTTATAATTTTATACATTATAATAAGACAAGTAAGAGTTCACCTAACTTGGATAGTATAAGTATCTACAGTAATATTATAAACCTAAAAGGTCTGTTTGTTTGTTTTATCGCGCTAATTTTAGTAACTGGTTCGAATAGAAAAACTATTTTTGTGTTTATTAAAACATTTATCGAGGAGGGCTCTACGCTATAAATATTACTCTTTGACGAATAGGAGTGAAGTAACAGTAGGAAATGTTGGAAAAACGGGGATTTTGTTTGATTTTTGAGGGTTTCCGTTACCGCGACGTAGTTCAAGATTGAACCTCAAAGGTGGTGGAATATGACAATAGGTTAATAATTCTTTGTCAGGTGCAAACAAAGGAATTACTCAAATAATTTACCTGAAGCCTCTATAGTGATTTGTTTCCACAACGAGGCGTGGTCGACTCTCCTAAGAACCGTCGACTCGGTTATAAAAAGGTCACCGAGCCATCTAGTGAAAGAAATCATTCTCTTTGACGATTTCTCAACTATGGGTAAGTGGACTATTCAGTATTATTTCATCGAATAAAAATGATTTTATTGAAGTAGTTTTCTTTAGCCTCTTATCTGCTTGAGTTTTTATTACGCCATATGACTGGGATTTGAAAATTGCTTGGCGTTTTGTTTGCTATTCCCAAATATCCTTCCTGTATACTTATTATCTTTCTTAACGTAGGGTGGAGAAGGAGTAGAAGAAAGCGATTTTGTCATTACGACATAACTGATTACATCAAGTAGTGGGTGCGAATCCTGCTTCTGTAACTTTTACAACATTTGTAAGGTCAACCATGTTATAAAGTCGTCATGCGTATAATGCTATGTGATAGCAATGTAGATTTGATAACTTTGACCAACTACGTACTCCAGATAGTCCTGAATGGTAGGCTTAAAACACCACTAATAAATTGGTGATGTAACTGGGACCTCTTCAAAATAACAAATTTAGGCTGACCCAAAATTTAGATCTAATATTTGGTAATATGCAGTACTCACTTCATTAACAAGGTAGAAAACAGACAAATAAAAAATAATGATTATTATTAACAGATCATCTAAAGGAAGACCTAGAGAATCACGTAAGAACATTACCAAAAGTGACACTGATCCGTGCAAACCGCAGGAAAGGTTTAATAAGAGCGAGAATTTTGGGGGCAAAGTACGCCACAGCGCCTGTAGTGTTATTTCTAGACAGCCACTGTGAATGCACAATAGGTAAGGTAGAATTAGTGTACCAAGCTTTTTATCGTTCGGCTAAAGCAAGGTGGTTTGACGGCCGTATGATCACTTTTCTTACGAATGTTTTATTGCGGATGACTGGACGACTGAGCATATAGTCAACCACTAGGTCGTTACAGGCCCTAAGATTATATAAATTTTAATTAAAAATAATATCAGTGATACATTAGGAAAAAGCTTTACTCTTTAGGAGCTACTGGGATGTCATTTTAAATACTGTCTCTACAGTATTTAAAATGACACACTACTACTATGACAATTACTACAGATTTAAATAAAACAATTTTAACGGTTTACAACATGAAAAACATTAGGTTACTATTTATTTTTTACTATAACCCGTTTTAATATGTGTTAATTAATTGGAAATATTAAAAATATTTTATTTGAATCGTCGTTTGTGTATTTTTTTTTTTTGGAGGACTTGGTGTTTTTTCATCATCATTTTGTTCCCTCTGAATGTGCTGGCTAAGTCTAAACGTTAAGAGCTTTGACTTCATGAGTTTAATAAAAACAGTACTATCACCTTTATCTTAAGGCATTACAAAGTAAACTTATTCCACAAAGTTCTTGTGTTATGTCTCCTATTTTTCAGGTTGGCTAGAACCGCTGTTAGATCGAATTAAAAGGTCCTCCGCGACCGTAGTGTCTCCCGTTGTAGACCACATTGATGTCACAACTTTCGAATTTATACCTCAAACTTCGGAGCATCTCCAATTAGGTGGGTTCGAATGGGATCTGAAGTTCATGTGGCGTCCTATACCCAAGTACATATCACGCAAACGTAAATATCCATCTGCGCCGATAAAGACCCCGACCATATCGGGCGGCCTATTCGCAATTAATAAGAGTTTCTTTAAGAAACTCGGCTTCTACGACGAAGGATATAGGATATGGGGAGCGGAGAATTTAGAGATATCGTTCAAGACTTGGATGTGCGGAGGCGTCCTGGAGATTATACCGTGTTCGCACGTCGGTCACGTTTTCAGGAAGACGTTCCCGTATAAGTCTCCGAAAAGATGGCACAGAATTAATTCTATGAGGCTAGCTGAGGTAATCTATACATTTGGTACAAACTTTTATATTATTCTAATGGTAGCCATGCATGGGAAATTAATAAAGACAGACAAGCAATGAAATGTGAAAATATGCCCTAGCTGTATAACATGTCAATATAATATGCTGTCTATTTGAATATTCGGTAATCCACAGAATCAACACAGTTTTTTCATCTGTGGACGCAGTGATTCGTGACCTAGACGGAATGTATATCTACATAGGATATCTCTAGCACCCTTTAGACGAAGGCCAACATGTAAAATGAAAAATATAAGTTGATTAGAAACTTGTTGGGCCTGGTGGTAATTAAAACCATGACCCGTTGATTATTAGTTGTACATTACTACCATCCGTCCAATATACCCATTAACCTATGGAATATGTGATTTTGCTGTACAGCTGCAGATCGAACTCACTTTGGGCTTCTTCTTGGGGCTTCGCTCAGAATGTTGTAATTCCCTAGGTATGGCTGGATGATTATGCAAAATATTATTATCAAAGGATCGGCGGTATCAAAGACAATTTCGGCGATGTAACAAAGCGAAGGGAGCTTCGGGAAAAATTGAAATGTAAATCTTTCGAATGGTACATGCAAAATATATATCCGGAGATGAAATTGCCCGACATGAACGTAGCTTATGGGCAGGTGGGTGCCCAAATTTCATAATTTACACTAGATAATATTCATTAAAATGTAAATCGTCTTCCTTTCACCTGCCTATTTGGAATTATCTTTAAATTCCATTTAAAGCATATAGTAAAAGTATTATCTGGAGTTTACGCAAATAACACAAATTTAAATAAAACAACGGTTTAAAACTCCCCAGTGACCACAGCTGCTGCAAGGGCCATAGTTAAAATAAGTTAACTATTATATTTTGTGTTTTAAATCGTTTAAAGTGTTTTATTTAAATTGATATGGTATGTTTTCTTATAATTAAATTGGTTATACATACAAATATTGTGTATTGTAGGTACATGGCTTAAAAATACATAAAACTGAAGATAGGCCAATAAAGGATTACATGATTAGTTCGATAAAGGACACAAAATTAAGATTTTTTAGCATTCAAATAATATATATATAATTTCGTATAAATAATAATTTTTACGAAAATATGTATTTAATTACAATAATTAATTTTCAAGAAAATTTTGAAACTATTCGTCTAAATGTATATCGAGATTCCGTTTTCGCTTTAATGGATTCTCGATGCAATACTACTGAGAATAAAACAACGTAATGTGACTTTACAAGTGCGAAGTTATTCTCGTTTTATGTGTTTTTAGATTTATAATATGGGAGAGTTCGCTGCCTGCCTCGACGCGTCTTCGACGTTTGTTAATGTACAGAGCGCTGTTAGTGTAAAAGCGTGCCATCTTCAAGGGGGTAACCAAGTTCGTATCTATACTGATATATAAAGCTAAATCTCAAAATCTCAAAAACTACTGGTTCGAATTTTAAAAATCTTATTGTGTTGGTCTGATAACATCAGGCTACGTCAATAGGAGCGAAGAAACAGCAAAAAAGCGAATATTATTCATTTGAGGGCTTCCGTTACGTGCGCGGTGAAAACGGTTCAAAATAAGTATGAAAGAGTCATTCCTCTTTCGATGATGTAAAAATATGTCCGCGATAGTACATACGATACATACTATAGTACTGTTTTGCGCCGATATACATGTCTTTTGAGACTAATTTGAATGAACTACGGGGCCTGAACGATGGGACGCCACCGACGTCACGAGGAAGCTATAATTTGTAAAGACGCGGAGGAAATCTGCAATAGCAATTCTTGACGTGTGCTATTCTACGCGGACGAAGTCGCTGGCACAGCTAGTTACCTATAAAAGCTTTACCTTATAGCCTTATATATATGACAAGCTGATCCAGTAAACGTCGTTTTATTGTTCGCAAGATTAATATTATTATGTTGATAGAATTGTGCTTTACATTGCGCAAGATGTGCGCGTATCAGTAAGTTGAAAAAATTCGACGATGACGTTTATGACACGATCTCAATCGGTAAGAGGAACAGCACGACGCTGTTTAATGCCGGTCTAGTCCTCAACACGGGCGTTGTAATTTTTTTCAATGTAAAATCAATTTTTAAATATTTTTTAGTTATTATAAAAATACTAGTTTGATTTCAGTTTTGGTGGTACACAAATATAGGACGAATTGAACACGACAACGGATGTCTTGACTTCTTACTGGGATTTGTGACCCTTTATTACTGCGATGTAAAAACTAAATCGCAAATATGGCTTTATAATTTAAAGGTAATACTTATTCTTTCATTTGGGTTTCAGCCATTTTTACGGGCTCGCCGATCTAGTGATAGCAATGTATGGCTAATAAAGGGTCGTGGGTTCGATCCCCACCGTGTGTTTTTAATTTTCAATTTATAACGTTTCTGAAACATGTTTGACTTCATCTGGAAATTTGTAAATTAAATGGGCGTTAGGTGTATCGGAATTCCGTCCGGGTCACGATAACACCGTGAGGTTTAATCGCACATCGGTTTCAGTCTGTGGATTTCTCAATATTAAAAGGCAACACAGGTCGACAGCGTATTTTCTTTGGATTTATACGGCTGACGGATTTCACGTCCCATAAAGTGAAACGTGCTGTTCCCCTCTATATTAAATTAAAATCTAATTGTCTTCATTTTCAGACAAAGGCTATTCAACATGAGGTGACGAAGAAGTGTTTAAGTGTCAAAATTAATTTTGGAGGTTCACGTTTGGAGTTAGATTTATACGAATGTGCGAATTTGACGACTCAAGAATGGGTGATGGAGAATTTTGATGGCAGCAGATTATTGCCTCATTTGCGACTTAATTAGAATAAATAAAGAATTATCTAAAGTATAAAATAAAACTAAGTCTTAAGCCAGGTAAATCTTACGCTCTATCGAGGTACTTTAAAATGAATGTTAGTAAATAGATAACATATAAAGAATTCTTAGTGATAAAATAAAAAAAGTAATATTACACATGGCATTGATAAAATCGGTACCTCAATCATTGTGTTTCTTAAGATATGGTTTTAAATCTAGTAAGTCAGCAGGACTTACTAGATTTAAAACCGTTGACATACAAAGGTTTTTATAATGATTAAATTATGTTTCAGTTTGCATGTAGCTTAAGCGAGTATTACACATTTAAATAAAGCAATTTTAACTGTTCGAAATACCAAAATATATTTGTCAAATTGTTAAGTTTTAATTAATCTATTAAGTTTACAACTATATTTCGCGTTTAAACCGTTGCAATTGTATTATTCAGAGAATATTTCCTAGCTATTATTGGTACACTTTGAAAAGTGTTTTGCGTAATCTTGGAAAACAAAAATTAAAAGATAAAAAGAATCTTATACGATCAGTACTGTTAATATAAACAATAATTATAGACGTATAATTATAGAAATAAATTGTACAACAACAAAATTACTAAAAAGGGCTACTGTTATGAATTATATATAAGGCTTTTATTGACAAAGCTTCTTGTTAGGTATAATACTTACTAAGCTGCTACGCTAATTATAAGAAAAATTCAGAAATTGCGACGGCAACATTTTTTTACGAAGACAAAAATGAGATAAGCTTTTAAGCGCTTTAGTAAACCGGCAAAGATGAATAGAATATTTGTTGTTATTTAAATTTTCCGCAAAATGTCCGGCTTAAATGGAAACCACAGGTAGGCGGGCTACTGCCACATTATTGTGGTCAGCGTAAAGCTCCACTTTGTACTGAAATGCCTCTTGATTTAAAATGTCATAATCTGTGTAATTCTATATCAAGAACCAGATACTAGCAAAACCATAAAATGTATTGCAATAAGACTGAGGACAGACAACCATGGGTTTACTTGATGGAATTTGACATATCCCACCCACATAACATATTGATAAGATGCGCTGTCGGCCTTTTTTACCTTAGTGTATTAGAGAATACAAAGACTGAAACCGAAATTCGATCTTCACGGCTCTTTCAATTTTAGACGGTAGTGTATGACCCGGGCGGAATTTTCGATGAAACCCCACCTGACCATTTAATTTCCAGATTTCTAGACAAATTTCCAAAATGTTTCATAAAAATTATATATTGGTTAGAAACAAGTTGGACTCCATGTGGACCACGGCTCAATGTTTATAAGCCATATAGACTAACGAATCCAGTTAACGTCTAATATATTTTCTCCCATTAGATCCTAAATTAACTAAACAAGTGTTCAGTGGTAGAGCAATTGTCTATCGCGGGAGGGATGCCCGCTTGCGTCATTGGTATTTCAAAATTGCCGTAATTCTTTAACAAATTATAGTTAATAGTTGTTCAAATGCTTAAATTTTCAATTAGTTAACTATATTATATATTCTGTGTTATACATGATATTTTTAAGAAATTTAAACTGGGTAACGAAGTAGTCAATAATATAGGAGCCATTATATACTATATTGATTTTACAAGAGGCTTGCCTATCCTGACAAGATTCAATAAATCTATCACTAAGGCTAAATAGAATAAAATAAGACAGAAAACAAAAACAAAACGAGTAACCAGAATTAGTTCAATTAAAACCACATCCCTCGAGGCCACTTTCGACATCCTCATTCTTTTTATTAAGGTTTTCCCTCTGCTTAGATTGAGTAATTACATTTATATTAATTAAAATATTTGAGTTTTGATTTGAGTACTGTCTGTAGTTTTTACGAGTAGTAGTAGTTTACGGGAGCAATACACATTTATATAAAACACTTTAACGGTTTAAAACGCGATATATTTTAGTTAAACTTGTTTGAAATTTTTCTTTAACAACTGCCCGACATTTCGGATGCTTTGCAGCAGCTGTGGTCACGGGGAGACTAAAGATAGAGGATATCTCTGACATACTGGCAGGGACCCGGTGAGTTTCGCCAAATACCAACTTCGACAGAACAGATGGCGCTAGCGTAGCAGTTCTTACTTAAACAATTAGTGCGTTCAAACAAACAAAGTATACAGCTTTATATATTACTATAGATACACTTCACTATGCGTGTTCTCTAGTGGCTATCGTTAACCAATTGCCTCGGTTCTCGTACGCTTTATTTTCTACTGTTAATTTAAAAGTTACAACACACGCTGTGGTCAATAGAACTTCTTTTAAATTCGGTAAAACAACATTTAAAATGTCGGTTATCAATTACCGACCGTTATGACAACTTTCGTCACACAGTAAAACATTTGAACTTACACATAAACTTAAATTTGATTAAACATACGATATACAGTTTGTTTATTTAAGTAAAGCTAACACACGGTAACGCAATTGACGCCGGTTCAAGTCCTTCCCATATCGTCATTTTTTTTCATAAAAAGACTAAATAGACAATCTATGTAGTCTTTTATTTTAATCATTAGTGTACACATAGACCACGCAAAGCATCCGAATGTCTGATTGTAGTTAAAAATATGTTTACTTAAACATTCGCGTTAAAAACCGTTAAACGTGATGTATTCAATTCCAAATATTATATTTCACAATGATTTCCTCTCTAAAGGTGTTTTATTTATTCTATAATTCAAAAATTAATGAAATTTATTAGGGACAATCTCAAACAATAAATTCGGATTATGAAAATCTCCATAGAACGTGGCAGAATTTTCTTGTTTTCGGAAAAATAAACAAGCAGAGCTAACAAGGTAAAACTTAAATGAAAATGTTCGGACTAACGAAGCGAAATTGTTTCCTTAAATACTTCGTATATAGCTTGATAAATTTTCCAATCTAATTAGTGTTTTAAAAAACGGTAAATATATTACCTATAAAATTATTACAATTCCCCTATTTATTGATTTTATTTACTATTATATACTATCGTTATACTTATGTGTCCTAACCACCCAAATCACTTTGTATATTTTTGCGATGAAAATGCGACGCTTACGAGAAGCACATTCATAATTTCAATTCAATAAGTTTAAACACGATGGTCATATTTTAATTTACTAAGCTAGTAGATTTTCTTAAATATCCATACAGTAAGTAGTGTCTGTAGTTTACGCTAGTATTAGACATTTAATCAAAACATTTTTAACGATTTAAAACGCGAAATGTTTTTGTTAACTTAATTTGTTTGTTTTTAACTACGGCCTGACATTTCGGAGGCTTTGCAGCAGCTATACGATCTTGGGTTTGCTATAGTTGAAAAGCGACTCTAATGTCAAACTCAAGTATTCTACGCTAGCGCCATCTGTTGACGTAGATAATATTTGGAGAAATTGGTGGTCTGCGTGGCTTTAAGCAAAGAGGTCATATCTTCACATCCCGGCTTAACAATAAATTGATTTTTTTTCTTGGCTCTAAATAAAACAGGATTACGGACACAAAAATGCGTTTGCTCGACGGCCTTTTAGTGTGACGGAATTACACATTATATTTTAGTAAAAGTACTTTTTTAACGTAATATATTGTCATACAATATAAATAGTATTTCAAAATACAAATACCTTGTAACTTAACTGATTTCACTAAGCGTTATATGCTAAAATTATTAACGCCAGCGCAGCTTTGCGGATCAATATAGAAGGAACTAAATACGTTTTCAGTATTATTAATTTATACGTAGTTGTTAATTCTATAACTAAGCGCTTTTAACACTCAACTCGGATTAATTACCTCTGAAATTGAAACTAGATTCAAAGCTTTCTACACTGCGTGTTTCAAAATAAGTTATTTAATTTATAACCCGTTTATTTAAAGCATATATATGTTAATATTTACTTTTGTCGATATTCCAATCTTTTGATACAATGCAGTTTAAATCAAAATAGAGAAATATTGATGTGTAAATAAAACAGTTTTAATAGTTTAAAGCTCGAAATATAATTGTTAAACTTGTACTTGATTTATTTTGACTCCGATCCGACGTTTCAGATACTTTGCAGCAGCCGTGGTCGCGGGGGGTTACAGATGGAGGATGTCCTCCCTAATGTCAAAGTCAATCTGCTACGCTAGCGTCACTGTTTCCTTATTATTGGTATTTGAATCTAAGTAAGTCCGAAATGTCGAGTCGTAGTAAAGAAAAATCAAAATCAGAGTCGTAATTAGTGCCTTTTCCTAATTTCCAAAAGCCTACTTACATAAAAAAGTCCTTTGAACCTCTTCTAATTATAAGCAGCCTAATGGATCAAATCTTTATCGAAAATGGTTCCTATTTAATTATTTGCCTTACAAATTAGGTGATATTACGAAAAATGACTTTCTTTTGAATATTCAATGTAGGAAAAGTCTTTGATGTATTCGAGTGGATATGTACCTACTAAAGATAATATTTTAGTCTTCATGCTGAAAAATACGACATATATAATAGCGCAAAAACTGGTCCACAAAAGTTAATTTTAAATCGAAATTATGTGCTTAATATAACTATTGTCTGCAGCTTACGCAAATAGTTCAAATAACACTTTTAACGGTTGAAAACGTGATATATATTAGTAAACTTATTTTATTTTGGCCCGATCGAAACGGGAGGACGCGGGATAAGGTAACTAATATTTAAAACGCGAAATGTTTTAAATAAGAGTTTTGAATAAATGTATGGATACTACTCGTGCACGCTACCGACAATACTTACTGTATATTGTTCAAATGAAGGAATTTAATTTGCTTCTTACTGCCTTGATCGACACGTTTAAGAACCAAGATCATTTATTTATTTATTTATTTATTTACATATATGCACTGTCATAACAGGTTGGATCCCAATGCGACAGAGATCTAAAAACTAAACAATATAATTATATATGATAGAACAAATATATATGAACTTAAACCAAACTATCGTTCATAACTCAAAATAAAC